GCTCCAGACTCCAGATTGATATTTTGGTGCTCTTTTTCAGGGCGGAAGTGGTGTAGTGGCAAGTGGCACGCTTACCACGCGAGCGGTCCGGGGATCAAATCCTGGGTCGTGAGTCGCCCGGGCCAACCAAGCCTTCCATCCCCGGGGTCGGTTAATTGGTACCAGACTTGTCTGGGAGGAAACACTGACTTGTACATCGGCTGGCCCCCGCAAGTCATTGTATAGGCCACATCGCATTCAAACGCCACTACGAATGTACAAATGGAAGTAGAATGCGTGCCGCATCCCAAAAAGGGATTGATCCATTATTTTTTGGTTAAATTATTGTGCTATACTCTGAGTTCATTTCGTAGTTGTGAATTTGGTAGAGCAACAACCCCAGATCAAATTGGTTCCCTAACAGCAGGCGACAATGGAATTTGGATGCCTAGTTGACTGAAAATGAAAAACGAAGCAAAGCAAATGCCTGTAAAGCTCTCAAGCAATACTCCCTTCTCTTTCAATGGAAAGGGAGCGTGTTTGGGCGAGTTACTGAACTTGCTTGCTCCATGGCTCCACTAACCCGCGCGTATTTGAATTAGCCGCTACGCGTAATCCACGTTGCGTGTCATGGGGTGTGCGCGAGGTATCTCGTCCATTAGCTCACATTAGCCGTCATTAGCTCACTTTGTAAGGCCCTAGCGCCATTTTCGCGCACTTTCGAGCGCCACAACTGCACAACTGTGATGTTCGCGGGCTACTCTAATTCCCACAGGAAAGATTGTTCGACGCGACCTCATCTGGGGCCGTAAGGTATGCTTCCCCGAAGGGTTAGGGGACGAAAATTCCTTTAAATTTTCTCTGTAGTCCCAACTGGGATTGTCCTGATAAAGGGCCTACATTTAATATATGTGTGTAGCTTAAAGTAACATGCATTGAAAATAAAGAAACAGTATCGTTCAAAACAAAAAATTTAAAGGGACTTTCGTCCCCGCAACCATTCGGGGAAGCATACCTTACGGCCCCTAGGTAGTTGCTTT